GGACTCTGCTGCAGCCTGGTCCGCTGCGGACGTGCCTTTAGCTTGTGGTTGTTGTGAACAAGCGGCTCCTCATGCTGTTTATAAGACTAGATAGGAATTACTGGTGATTGATGGTGACAATTTTTCAATGATCACTAAGCGAGACTGACCCCAGTCTTTCCTCTCTTACAGTCACTGCAGCCTTCAGTGTTTTTGTACCTGGCTTTTCTTTTAGGCTCTCTAAGAAACGAATGCTGCAGTGGATCAATTTGTCTGCATATACAGTACTATAGAGGTGGTACATTTCTGTAAGCCCCTCGGTCAGTAGGGAAAATTCATTAAGTGCATCGTACATGAGCCCCAAGTCCAAAACCAACTGTTTTGAGGATAGCCGTTTTAGCAACCCATCATAGAGTTTTCTGGCTGTAGCTGTTCTTGATACGTCGGATTTGGCCTGCTCAAAGTGAGCGCAGAACGCTTTGAAGTTGGACCATACCAAAACGCTCCCTATTTTTGCCACTTGTTGCTGACTTTCGGTAGCGCAATCAGCGAGTTGGTTCTGGTTTGGTGTGATCAACTGTATACGGAGTAACATTTGTCCATGAAGATTTGGAAGTGGTTCACATCATCAAACTTCTTACACTGCGTCCCCTACCGCCAGTTCCAGTCCATGGTTTCGACAGTGCCACACAACAAGGTTGGATAGTGCTGAGAGCCTGAGCGCAACGCCTGATTTCATCCCCAGCATGACACTGGCACCATCACTTACAAAGGCCACTTAGAATTTCTTCAGGTAATCGTCGTTGAACCCGTGACCACACAAGCAGTCTAACAAATATTTCACAATAGTCTCTGCCTTTTGGTCGGGAAGCTCGATAAGATGAAGAAAGACAAAATATGGACAAGGGTCTTGTGGGTTTCACATTTAACATAAACTATCAACGCAGATTTGCTGCTTAGGCCAGTAGACTCATCTATTATACTGAACAAAAATATAACGCAACATGTAAAGTGTTGGTCCCATGTTTCATGAGCTGAAATAAAAGATCCCAGAAATGTTCCATATGCACAAAAAGCTTATTTCGCTCAAATGTTGTGCACAAATTTGTTTACATCCATGTTAGTGAACATTTCTCCTTTGCCAAGATAATCCATCCACCAGACAGGTGAGGCATATCAAGAAGCTGATTAAACAGCATGATCATATGAACGGTACCGGGCAGATGGCGTTGTATGGGCGAGCGGTTTACTGATGTCAACGTTGTGAACAGAGTGCCCAATGATGGCGGTAGGGTTATGGTATTGGCAGGCATAAGCTATGGACAACGAAAACAATTGCACTTTTATCGATGGAAATTTGAATGCACAGAGATACCGTGACGAGATCCTGAGGCCCATTGTCGTGCCATTCATCCGCCGCCAGCGTGTTCCAGTTCCCGCCAATATCCAGCAACTTTGCACAGCCATTGAAGAGGAGTGGGACAATATTCCACAGGCCACAATCAACAGCCTGATCAACTCTATGTGAAGGAGATGTGTCACGCTGCTTGAGGCAAATGGTGGTCACACCAGATACTGACTGGTTTTCTGATCCACGCCCCTACCTTTTTTTAAAGGTATCTGTGACCAACAGATGCATATCTGTATTCCCAGTCATCTGAAATCCATAGATTAGGGCCTAATGAATGTATTTAAATTGACTGATTTCCTTATATGAACTGTAACTCAGTAAAATCTTTGAAATTGTTGCACGTTGAGTTTATAGTTTTGTTCAGTGTTGTATCGAGATGTTACCTTTTATCTCAAGTATGTGTTCGCAAATCTTTTTGCGCATTTCAAAGGCTATATGGTTTATTATTTGAGCAGCGCTCTTAACGGGAATGGAGTCCATACCCAATGTCTACCCCATTGATGTTTTGCAGCTCAAATACAGTGCATTCGGAAAGTATTCAGACCCCTTGACTTTTTCCACATTTTGTTACGTTACAGCCTTATTCTAAAATTGATTAAATCATCACCCCCCCCCCCCCCCCCCCCCCCCTCATCAATCTACACACAATACCCCATAATGCCAAAGTGAAAACAGGTTTTTAGAAATTTTGGCAAATGTATTAAAAATAAAAACATAAATACCTTATTTACATAGGTATTCAGACCCTTTGTTATGAGACTCGAAATTGGGCTCAGGTGCATCCTGTTTTCATTGATCATCCTTGAGATGTTTCTACAACTTGATTGGAGTCCACCTGTGGTAAACTCAACTGATTAGACATGATTTGGAAAGGCACACACCTGTCTATATAAGGTCCCACAGTTGACCGTACATGTCAGAGCAAATACCAAGCCATGAGGTAGAAGGAATTGTCTGTAGAGCGCCGAGACCCAGATCTGGGGAGGGGTACCAAAACTGTTTGGCAGTGTTGAAGGTCGTCCACAAGAACACAGTGGCCTCCATAATTCTTAAACGGAAGAAGTTTGGAACCACCAAGACTCGTCCTAGAGCTGGCCGCCCGGCCAAACTGAGCAATCGAGAGAGAAGGGCCTTGGTCAGGGAGGTGACCAAGAACCCGATGGTCACTCTGACAGAGCTCCAAAGTTCTTCAGAGGAGATGGGCGCAGCCATGGGTGGGCCTGGGAGGGCATAGGCCCACCAACTTGGGAGCCAGGCCCACCCACTTGGGAGCTAGGCCCAGCCAATCAGAATGAGTTTTTCCCCACAAAAAGACTTTCTCCACAATTTCATCAGCTGTCTGGGTGGCTGATCTCAGATGATCCCGCAGGTAAAGAAGCTGAATGTGGAGGTGCTGGGCTGGCGTGGTTACACGTGGTCTGCTGTGTAATGGATGGATTATCTTGGCCATATGGAATATTTCTGAAATATTTTATTTCAGCTGATGAAACATGGGACCAACACTTTACATGTTGCATTTACATTTTTGTTCAGTATACATAAGATGCATTAGGCTCACGGTCTGATTTGAGCATTTGAACACCTGAGTAAGATCCACTCAGCGCTAGCGCCGTCGTAGCCTTGACCACGGCATTTGTTCGCCGATATCCCCCGTAGGCGGGCATACACTACACGACTTCGACACGTTTCTGCCGTCCCAGACAACTTTTAATGATGGGGGGAAATTCTATGAACTTGGGCTAGGATCAGTATGTCGGGATTCACGTAGTTTGAGCGGGCTAAGGACACACCGATGATGGCCGTTCTGTTCTCCAGACCCCTGTCAGATGTCCCGATATGTCAGAAATTTTAGTCGTGCATCTTGTATTATGAGCGATTGGACAAGGACTACTGCCAAGAGCCAATGAGCACTCAGCATGTGAGACCAAAACAATGATGGCTGATGGCTAAGAGGAAAGCAACAACACTAGTTTAAGACACCACAAAGTCAAAATAGGCTAATATCGTAAAAATTCCTGAAAACCTTAATTTGAAGTTAGGGTTAGGCATAAGGTTAGCAGTGTAGTTAGGGTTAAGTTTAACATCTGATTTTTAAGAAGATAAATTGTAGAAATGGGCGGGGTTTAGCCATAATTAGGACAGATTGGTGGAGCTGTGGAGAGAATGCAGCTGCCTTTTCAATATTAAAAGTTTTCACCTCCAAGTCCCTCTGTAGAAAATACATCCACATTGTCCACGTCTGCCCAATCATTTGCGGTTCCATATTCTGCGCCTCAGTCTTTTTTGTTGTTGTGATGTTTATGCACATAAATGTGCACACTTATAAAGTAGCTCGCTGTTTGCATGTCGGCATTTTTTCCCTAAGACAACCGACAAGAGCAGGGCAGGATCAACTAGGAATCATCGTGTAACGTGAGGATTTAGGCTACGGAATGAAAGATTTGGGACAAGGAAATAGGGAAATGTGAGCACGTCCAAGTTGTTAAGATATTAGAAGTCGTGTAGTGTATGCCCCGCATTATACTTTCAATCAGAATGTGTTTATTTGTCATGTCCTGGGGCACTTTTTCAGTCACATCCTGAAGCCCAAGATTCAAACACTTAGCTTCCTAGTACATCTTTGGAAATTAAAAAGGTTTATGAATTAATAACTTTTTGGAGGGTTACTGTCTAAATTAGATTAAAACAATTTGACATTGATGACATGCGCATGGTACACCAGTGGGTAGGGATTAAGATTCGGGTCGTCCCAAGGATCCCGAATAGCAAAGACCTGTAAAAATGAATTCGGACCAACCATTTGGGAAATCTGTCACTTCCGAATGATCTTTCCCCCAATCACATCGAAGTATTTTGTAGGTGCATTCTTCCAAATGGTTGCTACGGCGTTGCTTTGTTTTAAACCTGAAGTTGCGATTGGTCACGTTCGGAAACGGAGCGGTGACACCGATTTGAGAAAAACATTTAAACGGGGGGCGGGATGTCTACACAGTTTGAAAATCTCAGTAGCAGAAAAACAGAGTTGGTGGAAGACTGAACAGACACATCAGGCAAGTTACGTTATGGCAACATAAAAAATATATATATATCTAAGTTGGTTATTTAGCCAACGTTAACTGGCTAAGGAAGTCATTCAGCTTGTTAGCACTGCTGTGCTGCAACAAAAGAACGATAACGTAATGAGATGACACTCACTCCGCTAACCGTTAGCTATGCTAACGTTAGCTTGCTAGCTATTGTAGCTTGCCTTTGCGCTGTAATATAGTTTAACTAGCTAGCTAGCACTAGCAAAAATACGCATGTGTTATTGGCTAACCGTTGTGTAATGCCTAGCCCAGGATATCTGTGGGCTAACGTTAGCCAATGCAAACATCTCTAACGTTAGATATGCCTTGCTAGCTGAAGTAAACAGCTAGGTAACTTAAAATCCAGCTGGCTAACTTGTTTAGCTAACAGACGTCATGACAACACCCTGGTTAGTTGCTTGCACGAAGCAAAATGCCATGCACGACGTGCATTCGAGTGTTTTCAAGTAGCTAATATTTGTGTTTACTAGCAAGCTAGTTTAGTTTCTAACGTTAGCTAATTATTTTGTTCTTCCAGTAGAAGTATGGCCTCTCAAAATATGGACCCTGCAGCAGCCTCATCCACAGCAGCTCTGAAAGGCAATGAGACCGGTGGGAGTGCAGCAAAGGGCTCAGTCACGAAAAGGTTTGTGACATTAGTTTTGGTCATCTAGATTGAATCCCTTTTTACTGTTCTGTAATCTGATTGGTGCCACTATTTGGGCATAGGCTAGTCGGTATACAAAGTTTTGGCATCATTTCTAAGTCTTTTCTTTACATCCTAGACTTCAACAAGAACTGATGACACTAATGGTAAGTGTTCCCCATATAGGGCCATCTCTTTTTAATCACAATTGGCGATATCAATATCTGTCAACATGTCTTTTGTAAAATTGCTATTTCCTTTAGATCTGAAGTTTTATTTCTTGCTCATGTCATGTAGATGTCTGGAGATAAAGGGATCTCCGCTTTCCCGGAGTCTGACAACCTTTTTAAGTGGATTGGAACAATAGACGGAGCTCAGGGAACAGTAAGTCATGTTTTCTTTCTACTCATCATGAAAGTGCAGCCTCAGCAGTTCCTCAGATTGTAAGAACAGTAACCCTACCACATGAACGTGGCCAACAAGGTCTACTGCAAAGCACCTTTGAACATTGAAACACTTGCCGTGAAATGCTTTTGCACACAAACAGTATAGCAAGGAATGTGTTGGTGGCATTACATTTTTTTTATCTTCCATCGCTCATTCTCATAGGTTTACGAAGGCCTGAGGTACAAGCTATCGTTAGAGTTCCCCAGTGGCTACCCTTACAAAGCCCCCCGAGTTAAGTTCATCACGCCATGTTTCCACCCCAATGTCGACGATCAGGGCTTCATCTGTCTGGATATCTTGAAAGACAAATGGTCAGCCCTATATGACGTGCGGTCCATCCTTCTGTCCATCCAGAGTTTATTAGGAGGTAAGGCACTTCCCACAGAAATTTATAAATGTCACTCAGTTCATCAAGTTGACTGGAACTCACCCGACCGTTTTTATAGGGTGTACTGCGATCAAATCACTGTCCAAGTTGTCATTTTATTTTTTATTGTTTGGAGAGGTTTTGTGTGCCACTGTCCAATTTGTATCTAACTTTGTACCACAATCTGTCTTATTCAGAGCCCAACAATGAGAGTCCATTGAACACTGCTGCTGCGGAGCTTTGGGATAACCAGGAAGGTTAGTATATGGACACGTTTGTGTCCCAACATGGTGTGCTACTTTTGACCAGGGCCCATAGGTCATTTGGGACGCAGCCTGGTGTTAAACAAACTTGTACTGTATTAAACAAAGGCTTCTTTCTTTCAGCCTTCAAAGCCCATTTGAACTCTGCCTACAAGAACTGACTCAAGATCCTACAATCCTGCCATGTGTTTTATTTCTAACTGTCTTTCTTGCTTTCTTTGTTTCTAATTATGTACATTTCAATACTGGGTATGTCTGTGTACAATATTTTTGTTTGTATGACCTATATGTGAATAAAGATGTCTAGGTATGTTAATTGTGGCTTTATTGGTTACTTTCCACGCAACATTTGTCTTTATTTCATTTAGATAAATATATTCTTCAATCACTAACTTATACTTATGAAATGTCACTAATAAGCTAGATGTAATGTCCTTGCCATAAACATCTATCCTCATCTGCATAGTTGATCTTGCCTTCAAAGGCTGCTTGTAAAGTTCTGTACGTTATGATGCATTTCTATACAGGCTTTACCCGAGTGTTTTACACAAGGCTGCCTTTTTTTGTTTCCATCTGTGGGCTGGCACCTGTGTCTCACTGGGCCATGGCTCCGGCGGCCCTGCTCACACTTGGGGCCAAAGCCAAGCCACTGGTACTTTAAAGCTGACATTGAAATTACAATGGATAACAACTTTTACACCTCACAAACTAACTGTTTTGATTATGCAGAAGTTGATGATTCTGCTCTTCACAAGTCCTCACTGTCAGCCCTAGCTATGGAAACACCTCAATTTCCCTAGTGTAACATAAGGGATATACGTTAGTGTAACACTGGTGTTAGTCAAAGCTGCATAACTGCGCTCTGTATCTAAATACATTTGTCCACCGGTCATAGATTTTATTAGCCAAATGAAAATTACTTATGCCTGCATTTGTCAACACTGTTTTATCTGCATCACTGACAACATTCTGTAACCAAGTGTTCAAGATTACACCCAAAGTTGTCAGTCAGGTCAATAGACAAAAATACACCCCAACTTAACAGTTTGGGGGATGACAACACCCTGATATCTTACCATCTTGGGACACCACCTCTTATCTCCTCCATTCTCATCCTGATTGTGTGCAGTGTCTTGAGACTGAGCACCCTCCACCCAGGCTTCTTGAGTCTCCTCCACCGCCCAGAAAGGAATTCTGACTTTCTGGAGCATCTCCTTGACCATGGCATCAATCTGGGTGATGTGCATCTTCAGGTCAGGGCTTTGCTCCACCTCCACTGCTAGCCAGGGGGTTTGGACCGAAGCAGCCCGGGCAGTGGACATGAATCACACAGTGGAATTTGCATATAATTCACACACTATACAATGCATTTCCCAAGTACACAAATTGTTGCGCTTGTGGTTTCAGTTCCAGATGTAATTGATCTGTTGAAATGACAGTTCTGTCAATTGCATTATTGTATACTTTATAGACACCAATGGGCTGAAAATGTTGCACTTCAAAAGATTTAACCTGAATTTGAATGGAAGGGGTCAGATGTTGAGATCCATTAAGCATTCAACAGCACTGCAGTGGCCTTACCTGTGCAGATTCTATAAGCCAGTGCTCTGGTCTCGTCCATCTTTTGAGAAAGCTGCCGTCCGAGTTGCTGCCGACAGATGTGGCCATTTGTTGGAAACAGGCAGTCACCTTGTTCAGGGCCTGCTGGGCAACCTCAAACTCTGTGACCTGCCGCTTCCTAGCCTGGATCTCATCCACTGACCTCCGCCACCAATTCATCTCAACCAGTGGAGGCTGTTGAGGGGAGGATGGCTCATAATAATGTCTGGAATGGAGCAAATGGAATGGCATCAAACACACGGAAACCATGGAAACCATGTGTGTGATGTATTTGATACCATTCCACCTATTCCGCTCCAGGCATTATCATAAGCCCATCCTCCCCTATTAAGGTGCCACCAACCTCCTGTGATCTGAACCTGGGCAGAGAAACCATACAACACAATGTAATACAAGACTTGCCTAATTGGTCCATTTACACAGATATTCTTTATTTTTTGCTGTCTCAGTACCCAACCTTACACACATCTAAAGTGCCTTGCTCAAGGGCACAAAAGTAGGTGTTATATGGGACATTGAAGCCAGTAACCCTCCAGCTGCCAGCTCACTTCCTGTAGCATCCCTACCAAGCATCTTGGGGATAAAACACCGTCAACCCCCTGGTTACCGGCCTACCTCTCTAACCTTAAGGCTATCAAGCCATAGCCTATTCATGGCCCTTGTGAAGGACTAAATACAAAATTCACACAACCTCACTAAACCAGGTGACTGTATTGGTATTATAAAACCAATATAGGCCTAAATATTGATAGTCATCTTTGATGATTATGATGATGATTATTGGCATTCAATGTTCACTGTAAAAGTATCAGAAAGTTGTATTTACTTTAAGGGTTCAAGTCAAGACAGCAAATATCACTCATCCTCTCCCTTTATATTTCAATAAAAAATAATTATTAGCATTACTATCAGTATTCCAAAATCTACAATCCAAATCTATACTGTGCCACCACTAATAACTCCACCAATTTCCACCAACATTATCATGACCACATATGAAACACAAAATACAGGAATTCAGAATCAAGAGTTATTAGCTACTTACCAATTTACACATCACCAAACGTCAACAAACAAATAGATAACCCACCTATGTTTTGAAAAGACTCCTCAGGGTCTCATGCTTTCTTATAGCCTACGGCCAAGTTGACAGCCTTCGACACAAGACTGAATACAACTGAGCAACTTCAGGATTAACCCTCAGTATTTGGCTCCTCCTCCACCCCCCCTGCTTAGTCTTTCCTCTCTGGACCTGGCAGGAACTGGTCTTCAGGGAAACACTTTTCAATTAGGCCAACCCAAGCAGCTGAGGCCCATTTGTGCTCTTGTTATTCTTCCAAAATAAAAGTAGTTTACATCAATTGGGGACAGACAACAACTGAAGAGTTTATTTCCAAAAAGCTTTATCCAACAATATTTCCATTTGTGTTTTTTCATCAGAAATTATTGCTTATGGGTACTCAATTGGTAGAGCATGGCGTTTGCAATGCCAGGGTTGTGGGTTCGATTCCCACGGAGGACCAGTATGAGAAAAAAAAATATATATGTATGCACTCACTAACTGTAAGTCGCTCTGGATAAGAGCGTCTGCTAAATGACTAAAATGTAAAAAAAATGTAAAAATGTACTTTCATGTGTGTGTAAAATATTACTGTTCTCAGATTTTTAATTAATAGATTTTAGATGTATATGAAAATGTTGTTGTTTTTGCAAAACGCTATACAGTGCAGTACCATGCAAAAGTATTCTGACCCCTTGGATTTCTTCAAATTTTATTTTTACAAAGTGGGATTAAAATGGATTTTGTATTGTCATTTTTTGTCAACAAAACTCTGTGATGTCAAAGTGGAAGAAAAATTTGATTTAAAAAAAGATGAATAAGAAATTTAATAACTAAAATTAGTTATTGCATAAGTATTCAGCCTCTTTGTTTAGGCAAGCGTAAATTATTTCAGGAGTAAAATTTGGCTTAACAAATAACAGAAAAAGTTACATGGACTTTAAATAATTGGGGATGACATTAGTTTTAAATGACTAACCCTTCCTATGTCCCCCATACATTCAACATCTGTAAGGTCCCTCAGTACTGAATTTCAAGCACAGATTCAACTACAAAGACCAGGGAGCTTTTCGAAAGTCTCATAAAAAAGGGCAGTTATTGGTAGATGGGTAACAATAACAAATCAAATCTTTAAGCAGGGTCTAGTTAATAATTATGCTGTGCATTATGTATTAAACCACTCAGACACCTCAAAGATACAGTCATCCTTCTGAACTGAGCTGCAGGACAGGAAGGAAACTTCTCAGGGATGTTACCATGAGGCCATTGGTGACTTTAAAACAGCTACAGGGTTCAATGGCTGTGATGGGAGAGAACTGAGGATGGATCAACAACATTGTAGTGACTCCACAATGACCTAAATGAAAAAAGAACACAAATAGAGAAAATACAAATATTCCAAAACATGCATCTTGTATGCAACAAGGCACTAAAGTAATACTGCAAAAGAAAATGTCAAAGGAATTTTCTTGTTGGCCTAAATGCAAAGTCCTATGTTTGAGGCAAATCCAACACAACACCACTGAGTAACTGCCTCCTTATTTTCAAGCATGGTGGTGGCTGCATCATGGTATGGGTATGCTTGACATTGGAATAATACTGGGGAGTTTTCAGGCAAAATCGTAGCGCAAAACCTGCTTCAGTCTGCTTTACACCAGACAATGGGAGAGGAATTCACCTTTCAGCAGGTCAATAACCTACAACACAAGGCCAAATCTACACTGGAGTTGCTTACCAAGAAGACAGGGAATGTTCCTAAGTGGCCAAGTTACAGTTTTGGCTTAAATCTGCTTGAAATACTATGGAAAGATTAGAAAATTGCTGTCTAGCCATGATCCCCAACATCTTGACAGAGCTTGAAGAATTTTAAAAAGAATAATAGGCAAATATTGTACAATCCAGGTGTGTAAAACTCTTATAGAGACTTACCCAAGAAGACTCTCAGCTGTAATTGCTGCCAAAGGTGTTTCTAACATGTATGGAGTCAGGGGTGTGAATACTTACGTAACAATTATATTTTATTTATACTTTTTTAAATTAATAATAAAAAAAAACGATTTCTTCCACTTTGACATTACTGAGTATTTTGTGTAGATTGTTGACAAAAAAATAGATTTAAACCAACTTTAATCACACTTTGTAACACAATAAAATGTGAAGAAATCCAAGGGTTCTGAATACTTTTGCAAGCCATTGTTTAGCTGGAATGGAATGTTCTTATCCTGTATATTTGACTGTGATATGTCGTTGTCTCACCTAGCTATCTTAAGATGAATGCATTTACTGTAAGTCGCTGTGGATAAGAGAGTCTGCTAAATGACTAAAATGTCAAATGTAAACATTTTACATGCATATCTCATACAGTTGAAGTCGGAAGATTACATACACCTTAGCCAAATACATTTAAACTCAGTTTTTCACAATTCCTGATATTTAATCCTAGTAAAATTCCCTGTCTTAGGTCAGTTAAGATCACCACTTTATTTTAAGAATGTGAAATGTCAGAATAATAGTAGAGAGAATGATTTATTTAAGCTTTTATTTCTTTCATCACATTCCAGTGGGTCAGAAGTTTACATACACTCAATTCGTATTTGGTAGCATTGCCTTTAAAATGGTTTAACTTGGGTCAAACGTTTCGGGTAGCCTTCCACAAGCTTCCCACAATAAGTTGGGTGAATTTTGGCCCATTCTTCCTGACAGAGCTGGTGTAACTGAGTCAGGTTTGTAGGCCCCCTTGCTCGCACACGCCTTTTCAGTTCTGCCCACACATTTTCTATAGGTTTGAGGTCAGGGCTTTGTGATGGCCACTCCAATACCTTGACTTTGTTGTCCTTAAGCCATTTTGCCACAACTTTGAAAGCATGCTTGGGGTCATTGTCCATTTGGAAGACCCATTTACGACCAAGCTTTAACTTCCTGACTGATGTCTTGAGATGTTGCTTCAATATATCCACATAATTTTCCTTCCTCAAGATGCCATCTATTTTGTGAAGTGCACCAGTCCCTCCTGCAGCAAAGCACCCCCACAGCATGATGCTGCCACCCCCATGATTCACGGTTGGCATGGTGTTCTTCGGCTGGCAAGCATCCCCTCTTTCCTCCAAACATAACGATGGTCATTATGGCCAAACCGTTCTATTTTTGTTTCATCAGACCAGAGGACATTTCTCCAAATAGTACGATCTTTGTCCCCATGTGCAGTTGCAAACCGTAGTCTGGCTTTTTTTATGGCGGTTTTGGAGTAGTGGCTTCTTCCTTGCTGAACGGCCTTTCAGGTTATGTCGATATAGGACTCGTTTTACTGTGGATATAGATACGTTTGTACCTGTTTCTTCCAGCATCTTCACAAGGTCCTTTGCTGTTGTTCTGGGATTGATTTGCACTTTTCGCACCAAAGTACGTTCATCTCTAGGAGACAGAACGCGTCTCCTTCCTGAGCGGTATGATGGCTGCGTGGTCCCATGGTGTTTATACTAGCATACTATTGTTTGTACAGATGAACGTGGTACCTTCAGGCATTTGGAAATTGCTCCCAATGATGAACCAGACTTGTGGAGGTCTACAAAAAAAATTCTGAGGTCTTGGCTGATTTCTTTTGATTTTCCCATGATGTCAAGCAAAGAGGCACTGAGTTTGAAG